ATGGCTTGACATGAAGTGTGTGTTATATATGAAATCACATGATGAGTATAAACATGAATGAAACGTGTGAACAGGGTGTGGGCACAGCCATCGGAGAGCTGCCTCCGTACTTCATGGCGCGAGCGGCTCGGCTGTCCGGCGCTGAACCCGATGATGAGGATTACCAGGAGTTTGAGGAAATGCTGGACCAGGCAGAGGCCACGCAGGTGACACGCTACTCATCATCTTCATCATCTTCATCATTCTCTGTAATCATCCTTCCCCTCTCCTACCACCTTCTTTCCTGCATCGCACATCTTTTCAGTATAAAACGTCTTTTTCCTGTCGTTTCCTCGCCGCTCGTTTGCCTTCATCACATTTTTTTTTTGCTTTATACCAAAAGTCTCATCTGATGTGGCAAATTTGCTTTTGTAACCTGCGTGTTTGTTTGAACCTCCCCTCGGTGTCTCAAGACTGCAGCGCTTTCACAACGCTGTGACTAAGGGAACAGCAATGATGCACTAGAGTAAAATGTTCCCGCGATATCCGGGCCCTCGTTGAGTAATTTCCTGTTTGACTTTGGGTTTTTTGGGTTCTCATGTCTAACGTCTCTGCAAATGTTTCAACAATGCCTAACAACTCTGTCTAAATATTTATTTTTCCACCCTCTCGCGATTATGAATAGAGGGAGAGGAATGAACAGAAACATGCATGTGGGTTTGCAAAGGCTTGTCATGTGTACGTCCATCGTCAGTCGAAGGCTGCGGTAGGTCAGGTGGAGAAAACGACCAGCTGCTGCAGCGAGCTACAGCTTTGAGCTGCGAGCAATAACTTTATTTTTTAATGAGGGTATCTGAGGTATTAAAGGACTGCTACGTGTTCAGTGTCCGTTTCATCTTTTGAAGCGTGCGTGTGGCTCTGTAACTTGTTCAGCCACAGTTGCATTCTGGGTAATTAAATAATTGTAATGGGGAAACATGGCCGACATCCGGACCTCTGGCCATAACTGACAAAATGCTTTTTAGCACTTTTTGTATGTCTAGCATAAAAATTGAGAAACAATTGGTGCTCATCTTTTATATTATTTTATTATTATTATTATTATTATTTTATATTTTTATCTTATTTTTACACATTTTAATGAATTATTTTCATCTATATTTACAAAAATACATTTTCAAATGTCACCATATTTTTTTAAGGTATAGAATAATTGTTTTAAAATAAAAGGTTAACCTCCTAAGACCTGAACTCTTCCACAGCA